AGAAGCCACAGTGAGCTGCCGTTGAAAGCGTAGCAGCTGCATCCTTGAAAACAGATGCTCTTCTGGGTCTGAATGAGTCCAATTTTGAGTAATTTTGAGACCTAAACAGATTTCAGCCTGGTTAATATTGGGAGATGGAACCACTTGAGACATCCTAATGTCCTATGCTGATTGCTCTGCCATGACATGTTGGCTTCCTTTGGAGATGCTGGGTATTTGATATGCCAGGGATTACAGGTCAACAGAAAAGAGAGATCCCAAGTGTCAGGAGCAGCAAGATGGCCTCATGGAATTAAAGTGACTCTAAAGGCAACAGAATTTATAGAGAAGGTGCTTGGGCTGCAGGGATTGACCAGAATTGCTTTACACTGTATGTCTGCGAGATCCCTGGATCGCCCAAGAAACCAGCTATAATGAACTACCTGCCTATCCCCCACTCTGTCCCTAGAATACACTCCAGAAACTAAGGAGAAAGTTGTAGTTGTAAGTTGCAAGTTGTTTCTGCTCTTTCCTAATCTCTATCAGTCTGTTATTATGTGAATTCTATTCGTCGTGTTATGTTGGTCAATTAAATCATTTGTTCTGTTTAATTAAAAAAAAGCATTGATTGTTTTATATAAGGATTTTATATAAAATCCTTCCCTGAGGGAGTAATGATCTGGTAGGGAGACATATTGATAAACAGATCATGTCGGTGGAGTATAACTGCTATGATAGAATTCTGTGGGGTGGGGGGAAGCACCCAGAAAAGCCAATGAGAGAGGCTTTCTGAGCCAGAAAGTATGAACAGTGTGGAAAAAGTAATAAGAGCCATCAAAGACACAGAATCCTGAAACAGCACGATATGTTTAGGGAGTCTGCTTTCAAAGGGTGGTGGGTCAAAGGGCCAGTCTTCAGGAAGGGAGCAGTTGGAAAGGAAGGAGACAGTGGTAAAAGATGGAGAGGAACTGAAGTATTGAACAGAAACCAAAAATCATGGGAAGCCTTGCTAAGGAGCTTGGACTTTATCGTATAAGCGATGGGATGCATGGATGTGATTTTTACAGGAAATGAACATAGTCAAATTTGTGTCTTAGATAAATAACTCTGATCATCTAATTCATATTTAATTAGCTAAATATGGAGGATTGAATGAAGGTAGGGACCAGGCCTGAGGCAAAGATACCAACCAGGAGACGGATGTTGTGGTCATCCGGGGAAGAGGTGAGGGCTAAACCAAGAAAGTGACAGTAGGTATAGAAAAGACAAAATGTATTAAGAAAACATTGAGGAAATAAAGTTGGCAGAAATGAGTTTTTTTGCTGAGGAGAATGAGAGAGAGAAGAAATCCAAAGATTAGTGTCATGTTTGTAGCTGAGATTCTTAGAGTTAGATACCATTGATGGAAAGGGAATTCAAAATAAAGAGCAGATGCTAGAGAGAGATAATGAGTTTAGTTTTGAACACATTGCATTTGAGATGCCTGTTGGGATGGACAGGTAAGATACCTGACAAACAGTTGATCAAATGAAACTTCAGGAGCCATCAATTTCTAGATAATAGCACAAACCATGAAAATGGATGAGCTCATTCAGAGAACATATAGAGTGAGAAGTAAGGGAGACCAACAGAGAAGAAATTCCTTGGGGACACCAGCACTTATGGGTGGGCTACAGGAAGAGGATTCGGTGAAGGAGGCAATGAAAACAATGTCAGAGAGGTGAGAGAACGCCCAGAGGAATATGGTGCCATGTAAACCGAAAGAAAACACAATTTCGAGTAGGAAATGACCAGTCCTATTGAATGGAGCAGAGAGCCTCTCTGAGATTAGGACTGAAACGTTCCCATTGGGTTTGGCAATTAAGCTATCCCCAATAATGATCATCACCATAATTATTTAATAAAGAACTGGAGGCAGAAATCAGATGATGGCACATGGAAGAGTTCCTGGAAGGCACGGCTATGGAGAAAGCAAGTGTTAACAGTTCTTTTGAAATCTGGAATAAGAATCTGAGATCCTGAAGAGAGGAGTAGCAGAGAGTAGGAAGGACGAGAGGCCTGGGAGCAGCATGAATTTGGGGACGTCGCTGAGAAAGAGAAAGGAGCGGGCCAAGCACTAGTGAAGGATTGACAAGTGACAGTGAAGGCTTTTTTGAGATTAAAATCCAGAACATTTTGGTGGCAACAATCCAGATTTTTGTTTTCCTGTCAAAAGAGTTGCAGAATTATTAGCCCAGGGTTAGATCAAGTTGCCAAAGAAGAATCTACTTAGAGGGTCGTTGGCCACATGGTGACACACAGCCACCTCTAGCTATGAAAGCAAGGCTAAGAATGTGACATGTAGCTTTCCAGAGTCTATGGTGGAGTGAGCACGGGAGAATTGGAAATATCTGTTGGTTCATCTAATAAGCAGTGTCTGCCCCAGAGACCAAGGTTCAGCTTCCTCGTGTCGACCAATCAATGTAATACAAAGAGCCATGGTGACGTTGCCACAAATTAGCTAGGAGCTCCAAAGATGCCTGCTTTTATGCAATGGTTCTAAGAGGAACAGGGATGCTACTGATGATCTGGTGTGACTCATACCCAGCATTAGAAAAACAGCTCAACGTGCATATTCTGATAAAACGATCAAGACTCAAACAGCAGATTCTGTCAGCACTGCTTTTTTTTTTGCAGGTTTCCATTTGACATTAAAGAGCTAGTTAATTGTTTTGTGTTGTCTGTCTGCCGTGCTCAGCATTTCTTTGTGAATTCCTTCTTGTTAAGAAAAAAAAACTCCGTCAGTTTCGGTGAGCCCTCAAGAATTCACAAGCCAGCTTTTTGGTAGAACACTGGGCATCATTTTTCATGTTGCTTTACTAAAATGTTATGTTTTTGCTCTAGATCAGCCACGTGACATGTACAGCATGCTGTTTTTTTAAAGTGCCTTTAGAAAACCACCCTCGTTGCAAGCTTTGTCTTGGCTGTTTATCTTGCCATCAACGTACTTCTACCTGGATATGTTTTTATAATTGCACAGTTTGGCAGTGGTCGGTGGCTACACACGGCGACATTATGTATTTCTATAATAAGAAGGGCAGATTTATGTATTTACTTTTCTACTGTCTTAGTGGAATTTGTCCAGAAGGCCCTTGCTAGAATTTGGGAGATTAGTCCAGTAATCCTCTCCTTACCTGTGGTTTTGCTTTTCACAGTTACCCATGCAGCCAGCTGCAGTCCAAAAATATTAAATAGAAAATTCCAGAATAAACAATTTGTAAGTTTTAAAGTGCACACTATTTTGAGCAGCGTGATGAAATCTCACGCCACCCGCTTCCATCCTGCCCAAGCTGTGGACCGTCGCTTTGTCTGGTGTATCCACACCCTATATGCTACTCTGCCACTAATCACTTAGTAGTCATCAGTTATCAGGCCCGCTGTCGCTGCGTTGCCATGCTTGTGTTCAAGTCACCCTTATTTTCCTTCATAATGGCCCCAAAGTGCAAGAGCAGTGTAAGATGCCGGCGTTTCGAATATGCCGAAGAGAAAGTGCTTCCTTTAAGTGGATAGGTGTATATGAATAGGGGAAAACAGTGTATACAGGGCTCAGCACGATTCATGGTTTCAGACATCCACTGGGGGTCTTGGCACGTATCCCCTGCAGATATGAGGGGGACTGCTGTAATACCTTGAACCTCACACCACAAGCCTGATTCCTTCAGGGTATGATTTCGGCCTCTTTTCATTGATACATAGACAGCTCTCCATGTCACAGTCAATGTTACTCAACAGAGGAGTCCAGGGGCTCAGAAGCCCTAAAATGCTTTGAAATACCTGAACACTGTTACTTAGAGGTGCTCTCACCCAGCCTGACAAATGAAAACATTAGGAAGGCCGTGATCGCACCTGGCGTCACCATTAGGTAAATCATGTTAACGTTAGCAAGGAGATGCAGTGTCCCTCATCCAGCCTCCTGCAGATCAATTAGTGAGCATCTTGGATGATGCCAAGGCTGGCTGGTAATAATTTTTAATCTACATCGCTACACTCCCTTCCTCCTTACATGTTCCCTTAAAATGTATTTTTATGTTTGCTCTGATATTTTCATTTATTGAGTCTGGTTCCAGGCAGGATTCGTCTGTACGTCTTGACTATCTCTCTGGGCCCTTCTCTGGGCTTGGCAAGAGTCTAGGAATAGAGGCAGCACTGAAAGCCCTAACCGTGGATATCGCCGCAGCTAGAGGCTGGCCCCCTACTCTCCAAGGCGAACGCCTCCTGACGTTAGTCAGTAGGCTGCGCCATAACATAGTGCATGCGCCCTGCATTCAGGGAGCTCTCCTCGCCAAGGACGCTACATCCTCTAATAGGGAGAAGAATTTTCAGGTGGAAAAGCAGAAACGACTCACAAAGGGAAACTGAACTTCAAGATGGCTAGAATTATCTTCTAAGTGTTTTGTTGTTGTAATCAAGCTTAAGATTCTTAACCTGGCCAAATCACATGCTAACAAAGAATCATCATTTGTGTTTGTTGTTTATGTCAATATCGAGTGAGTTTTGTGTGCTGTTGGAGTAAGTGTTTTATCTACATGAACCCATCCAATGCTCCCAACAGCCCCACACTGTAGGTACTGATGTCTCCATTTTCCAGAAAAAGAAACTGAGGCAGACAGAATTTCAGTGATTTGCTCTTGGTCACACAATAAGCAGGGAGACAGGGCTCCAGGCCAGTCGTTGAGACTCGAGAGCACGGAAGAAGCTTTTGCATGACATTGGCAAATTATTGTTGGTGAACTTTGAGAAATTGTGGGGAACTGGCTATACAATAGCAGTCTAGACGTAAACACATGTAGTTCACATTTTTGTGGCTCAGTACTGTCCTGAAAACAGTGTGTCCGCGTGCTGTTGAGTCTTCTGTCAATTACTTGGGAGAGTTATAGAAAGTAGCTTTATCACATTTGCCAAAAAGACCTTTGAAGGACTTTTAGTAGACTGTAAGCTGTATATGGGTTAAAATAGAAAACAGCACACTACCATCCCACTGGAATACTTCAGACTTACATGCTAACAGCAGGGCATCTAGAAAAGGGGTTGATAATTCTCTCTACACAGGTCAGACCACTCTGTAGTATTGATTATGTTCAGTCCTGCATCCCACATTTTAATGGAGATATAGAACAATTAGAATGTCTTTGTTAGGGAATTATGAGAATTGTAAAATTATTCAATCCAATTATTTGAAGAATAGTTGAAAAGTGGGGGACATTTAGCCTGGAAAAGGGAAGACTTCGCAGAAGCCAAAAGGGCTATCTTGAATACCTGAGGTACTGACATACGTGAGCATGAAGGCACAGTTGGTAGGATCAGGGCCAGCAATTAGAAGTCCATGATGACAGACATGGCTCCATGTAGGGACGGTCAAATCATTCAGAGATGGAACTGGCTGCCTCCGGGGGTACTGCGTTTCCTTTCACAAACATTTGTGTGGGTGTGCAGCCAGAAACTGAACAGCCACTTAAAGATGTGAAGATTACACAATCATAGACCACATGGTGGGGCCAGATGACAGTTCGGGTCACTTCCAACTCCGAAATTCTGCTTCCATCGTTCTGTGAATTGATTCAGGACAATCAGCTGGGTCGCTCTGTTTAATCAAGTACAGAAATAGGCTATCATGTCCTGGCCGTCGGATGCTGCCAACACTAGCATTAGCCAAACTGGTCAAAAAAACATGATGAGCAACAAAATAACATGTCATTTCAAAAAAAAAAAATCTGTAGGCATCCAGTGCAATCAGTGATTGGTGTTTTGTCCTCATCTCTTTTTTTTCAGTGTCGTCTCCTGCTCAAGAGAGCCACGTGAACATGGACCTGCCCCCAGTGTCAGAGCAGATCATGCAGACCCTGAGTGAGCTTGCCAAGTCTTTCCAGGATATGGCTGACCGCTGCTTGCTGGTCCTGCACCTGGAAGTCAGGTATGACACAGCAAAGTGACTGAAATACACTCTGAGCCATACATCCCTGGCATATTTCTGGGGAGCATCGCAGTAATGTGGGGTTCTTATTATTGATGTCCTTTTTTTTTTTTTTACACTGAAAGTTATTTGTGGTGTTATTCAGCCACTCTTAAATATTTTGAGCACATGTTATATGGTGAATATGGTGATTTCAGAGTTTGCAAGGACTGTGATAACAGAATGACCTGGATTCGAATGTCTGTACCAACCAGCTAGTCGATCGTAGGACAGTAAATTAACTTGACTAACCCTCCATTTTCTCATCTTAAAAATAGAAACAGTAGTTCCTAATGTGTAGAGATTTTGTAAATGAAATAGTAAATAATGAGTACAATGCCTGCCGCATAGGAGGTGTGGTAGCATTGCGATTATAGCAACTTTGTCGTTGATATGTTTCCGAAGATACTGTGCTAATCAAGATGGCAGTATACAGATGCAGGAACCATGATCCTGTCCTTCAAGAATTTAAAGCCCAATTGAAGAGATCACCTTAACATAATTCAAGAAAATATTCTCGAAAATGCTATCCTCTTGAACCCTTCTTCCTTCCCCTGCAGTGTAGAATATTCTAATCAGCTTTGGTAACCTCTTTTCTTACCCATTTGGAAATGATAGGCAGAAAAGCCTAGGAAGTCTTCAATTGTTCATTCATTCATTCATTCATTCAATAAATACGTATTGAGTGCCTTCTTTGGGCCAAGCAGTGTTCTCAAAATCGGGATATAGCAATGAAAATAACACTCAAGGTTCCTGCTCTCATGGAACTGCGTTCTAATGGAGGGAAGGAGCCAATGAATAAACAAAAAAGATAATTTCAGATAAGTGCAACTAAAACAACAAAGCAGCATAATGGAATCAAGCAGTGCTATCCAATAGAAATACCAAGTGAGCTACATGTGAACCACACAGATAATTTAGATTTTCTAACAGTCACACTTGAAAAAATAGAAGGAAATACATAAATTATAATAGCATTTTATTTAACCCAGTTTATCCGAAATATCATTTCAACATGTAATGAACATAAAAATTATTAATGAGATGTCTTGTCTTTTGTATTTTTTTTTGTACTAAGCTTTTGATATCTGCATATTTGACGCTTATAGCACAATTTAAATTTCGAGTAGTCACATTTTAAGATCTCGATGGCCGCATGTGGCCGCTGCTCTCATACTGGACAGTAGACAGTGGCTGGAGTTGACTAGAAAGGGGGATTTTTTTTCATTTGTCTGCTTTTTTTGTTTTTTAGATAAAGTGGTCAGAGAAAATGTGACAAGGTAATAAGAAGCCATCTGTACAAAGACCTAGGGGAAAGGAATTTCAAGAGTCACAGGTCCTGAGACAAAGTCAAGGTTGACAGTTTTGAGGTGCAGAGAGGAGTCCAGTATGATTGTCACCCGGTGACGCAGGGGCGTGAGGAGGAGAGGAAGGATAGGTGAAGCTGCAGGCTGGAGCCCCCTCATGGGGGGTCAGGAGCCTGACACATTGTAGGGCCTTGCAGACCACGTGAATTGTTCCGATGTTACTTCAAGTGTGTGAAGAAGCCATCGGAGGCTTTTTAAGCGGGGAAGTGATATTCCTTCCTTCCTCATTCATTCACATTTTTAAAAGACCCCATTGGCTACAAGTGGAAAAGGAATTGCAGGGAGAAATATGAATGGAAGTAGAGCAACCAGTTGAAGCCAGTTATGAGCACCCGAGTGACAGAGGTGGAAGTTTGAAAAATGTTGGACTTGAGGCATAGTCTGAAGGTAGAACTGATAAAATAAATCAGATTGGGTGCAAGGGCTGGAAGCAGTGAGACAGGATGCAAGGAAAACCACCAGGTTTGGGGCCAGAACAACTATGGATGCCAGAGCCATTAACTGAGGTGAGAAAGGCTGAGGGCGGAGATTGGGTGGAAATCAGGAGTTCCATTTGGGAGACTTTCAGGTGAGATGCCTATTAGACATCCAGGCAGCAATGCCAAATAGACAGTTGGATACAGACTTTTAAACTTCAGGATGAGAAAGTGTATAGTAATACATTTTCTTCTGTGTGACCATGAGAAATTATTAAAGCTGATAAGAATATTTTCTTTCAGGGTCTTTAATAAAGTTCAAGTTTTAAAATGTAATTAGAATTTTAGCTTATGTGTTTGGACTCCAGTTAGAACTTGGGTGTCTTACTGGTGAGCGCAGGCCAAGCCTACTTGATAATGCATTGCTAATGTCACTTCTTTTTTGTGCCACTTCCTTTTGACATTCTTCATTATCTTGTCCAGTGAGTTATTTCATTTATTGCTCATGAGCACCTTGTGAGTAGAGCAAGAGAAGTAGCTTGCAGATTTGGAACCTGTTACACTCACCATTTTTTTTCCGATTTCATTTCTTACATTCAACTGTCCAGAAATAAGGCTTTTCCTCTGTATTTTTAAAATTTCTTTCACAATAATTTTTAAATTTGTTTTCTATCTATTTACAAGCCAACAGTAAAATAAATCAGGTGTTTTCTAGGAATGGATAAATGCAATAGACATAAAAGAAGAAAAACCACCTAGTAACATTTGGATGCCTCTCTTACCTGGGTTGCACAGAAAAACAAGGGGACAGCAAATTCATTACTGTCACCACTCCTGGAATTTATGCTGTTGATTGTGCGGGCACATGATGTGTCCTCCATTCAGAATTATCAGCTCGTGGTGTAGTCAATTCCAAGTGGGAAATTTTCAACACATTTGAGTAAAATCTTTTAAATCCTTAACCTTCATTCTGCCCTTTTTTAGTTTTGCACATCTTGGCAGTACTGTTTTAGAATGCTGAACATGTTTTAGTCATTACTTATTAACTTTACAAGAAACCATTCAGTGCTGTAACCTCCATTGCTACAGCTCCTTCAACATTAGTTTTAAAAACAGAAAAAGATCATTTTAAGAATGAATAACAAAAAATGCTGCATTTTAGAGATGCAGAATTATCTTTCCTTGACTTTTACTGAGAACACCAAGCATGTTTATTTTTTTTCTAAATTAATTGTCCTCACCTCCTCATGTAACATGGCTTCAACATTCACGTTGCTTTCGTATGAATATGCTCCCTTTTGTCCTTGTTCCTTTTAAAGTATGGTAGACAAAACGAGGCAGAACACTCCATGTACGGCTCAGGTGGTAAATGTGCATCATACACTTTCTTTGTTCCTTGTCACAATAATAAGCTTTGTTGATGATTCAAAATGAATAAGACATCTTAAATCATTCTACTGTAGTATAATAATGCAAAACAAAGGAGACTGCTGAGTGCGCCGGGTACCCACAGTGGGTGAGTGTGGAAGAGATTGGCAGTGCCCAGAAGGCAGGAATCAGGTGTGTCTTGTTCATTGTGATGTCACTAGAACCTAATAGGTGCTCCATAAAAACATCAAGGACTCTTGGGAATTAGCTGGTTTGAAACCAAAACCAAATAAAGTGTTGTTTCCCCAAACAAAACCTATTGCTCATTAAAGAAAATGAATTGGTATAGAGCAGCGGTTCTCAACCTTCCTAATGCCGTGACCCCTTAATACAGTTCAGTCCTCATGTTGTGGTGACCCCCAACCATAAAATTATTTTCGTTGCTACTCTATAACTGTAATTTTGCTACTGTTATGAATCGTGATGTAAATTTTTTTTGTTTTCCGATGGTCTTAGGCGACCCCTGTGAAAGGGTCGTTCGACCCCCAAAGGGGTCGCGACCCACAGGTTGAGAACCGCTGGATAGAGACTCTGTTTGCACTTGGTAGTTCCCTACATGTATTTAAGGAGGTGCAGAGGTACTGTGTGGCCAGCATCAGCCTTGTCAGCCCAATCAGCGAATGCTTGCTTTGTTCCCATCCTGCTGTGAAAGAGAATTAGATCTTAGGCCCTGTCATCCAGGAGCTGGTACAATGAAGAAGTGGCTGGTTACGTACTGTCTCTGGCACTTTTACCCAAAAAGCCAATGCAACAAGAGAGTACAGATAGAACAGTCAAAATAATAATAATAATAAAAATAATAATAATAATGGGAAAAATGTTAATGGGGAGTCCTTGCAAGAAGTCTAGAACAACTTCAAATGCCAAAATGTTGTCTTATTCCCCCAAATATTTTTATATCCATTGCCCCTATTTTTCTCTAACAGTGTTCAAGTTCAAATCAAAAGGTGTTCGCAAATCCAGTAGGTTCTGTGTTGAAGGTCCCATCCAAATAGCATTTGACATTTTAACCTGTGTCCCTATAGGTTCTATTTAACGACCAAGAGGGGCCTTTCCGCTGTTGGAAGCCATAGGCCAATGGCACCCCAATAAATGAAAGACATGATGAGGCCATAAAACATTATTGAGTATTTTTCCCTATTTCAACTTTGGAAGGAGAAAGTTAAATTGCCATTTGAGTCCAAGAAGCCAAGAATGTCACCTTCGTCAGCTGGTCCTCTCACCATCAGGAGGGCTCGAAGTGGATTCCACAGCAACTGCCTGTCACTGTTAGGGTTCTAAAATTAACCATCCTGCTGTATAGTCGCAATATTTGCAGAAAACCTTATTGCCAAAGTCATGGTAAGGCCAGCAACAACATTCTAGAATTCAAAAGGAAAGGAAAAAAACCTTTTTTTTTTTAAATTTGACATTTACCAATGACTATTTTAACTTCTGTTTCATCTGTGATAATTTTGGGAGAGGAAGACAGTACCTTAAAAAAGTGTTTTATCTCCCCTCTTTGCCACTCACTTCAGGATCTCATGAGCCCTCACCTCCAATTCATAATAATTTCCTAAGGAATCTCTCTATGTCCAGTTGCTTCCGTTCTCCACCATCAGTCTGCCTTCTATACTGTGCCACAGTGATCTGACGAAAGCTCATACTGGATGATATCATTTCACCTCTTAAAATCCTCCTAAGCCTCCCGAGGGTTTTTCAAATAAAGCCCAGTGTCCTGGAATGGCCTCCAAAGCCTGTGCCAGCCTGGCCCCTGCCCATCTCCCCAGGTTCCCCTCATGCATCTGTCATGTGATCTGTGTGCGCCAAAAGGAGCAACTCATCTTTCCTTAAAACTGTCCTCCATCCCCACTTCCCCACCCCACCATACCTTTGTACATGGCCTTCCATTGTCTGGGGTTATAATGTTTACAGTTTACTATAAAACTACTTTAGCATTGATGGGTTGATTTTATTTTTAACTAAGAGCCACTTGGCTTAAATTTCAACCACAATACCAATCAATTTGACTATTCACAAATCATACTCCAGAGTTGGTTGACTTTTATTCTATCAGAAAGGCCACATTTCAGAGGGGTCTGTGACTGGTGCAGTTAGTTACTGGGATCTTGATCAAAACTATGTATTTTTGCCAGTTAGCACATGAATGTCAGAATGAGTTTTTATTGGTGTAATTAGTCGTTAGGTTATTAGCAGCTGTTACGATGATTACTCATCATGAAAATGAACTGGTAAAGATTCCCTTGCATGAACAGGTTATAAGAATATAGTATATCCTATACAAAACTTAGCTCAAAATGAATTATAGATCTAAATGTAAAAGCTAAAACTTTAGAACTTCTAGAATAAGACATACGAAAAAAATCTTTGTGACTTTGGTTAGGCAAAGATTTCTTAAATCTTTAACACCCAAGCACCATCCATAAAAGAAATAAATGATAAATTGAACTTCATCAAAATTTAAAACCATTCTTTGAAAGACATTGTTAAGATGAAAACACAAGTCAAAGCCTGGGAGAAAATATTTGCAAAATGCACATCTCATAAAGGACTTATATCCAGAATACATAAAGAACTCTCAAAACTTAATAAGAAAACAAATAACCTCATAAAAAAATTAGGCAAGTGGTGTGAACACAAAGATATATGGATGACATATAAGCACATGAAAATATGCTCAATATCATTCGTCATTATGACAGTGCAAATTAAAACCACAATGAGATACCACTATACATCTATTAGAATGACTACATTTTTTTTTTCTTTCACAAAAACTGGCAAACACTTGAGGGCATTATGCTAAATCAAATAAGCCAGACAAAGAAAGACAAATAGGCATGCTGTCACTTATATGTGGAATATTTAAAAAAACAGTCAAACTCATAGAAACAGAAAAGCAAGTGGTAGCTGGGAGAATGGAAGCAGTAGAAAGAGGTTGGTAAAAGGTACGAACTTTCATCTATAAGCTGAATACGTTCTGAGGATCTGATGTAAAACATGGGACTATAGACGGTAGCACTGTATTATATAATTGAAATTTGCTAAGAGGGTAAAGCTTAAATGTTCATACTAACAAAAAGGGATAAGTATGTGAGGTGATGGATGTGCTAATTAACTAGATGGGGGGTCGTTTCCCAATGTCTATCTATGTCAAATCACTACGATGAGCACTTTAAATACCTTACAATTTTATGTCAATTATACCTCAATAAAATTTAAAAAAAAAATAAACTAACAAAACTAGGTGCTGGTGAGGATGTGGAGCAACTGGAACTCTCGTACGTTGCTGGGAAGAAAGCAAAATGGCATAGCTACTTTGGGAAAGACCTCGGCAGTTTCTTATCAAATTAAACATGCACTTACCATAGGCCCCACCAATCCACTTCTAGGTATGTACCCAAGAGAAATGAAAACTTATATTTACACAAAAACTTGTACACGAAGCAGCTTTATTCATCATCAGCCCAACCTAGAAACAAAGCAGATGTCAACTGGTAAATGGTGAGATCGTGGCACATCCATTCCTGGATGACTGCTCGGTAATAACAAGGAATAAACAACAACATGGCAAATTCTCACATGCTTTAAGGCAGAGAGAAAGAAGCCAGACGCCAAAGGCGACATACTGTATGGCTCCATTTATATGGCACTCTGGAAGAGACGAAGCTACAGGGACAGAAAACAGATCAGTGGTTGCAAGAGCCTTGGGGTATGAATAGAGCCTGACGGCAAAGGGGTACAAGGGAATCCTAGGAGTGATGACACTCCTGTATCATTTGATTATGGTAGTGCTTATACAACTGTACGCATTTGTCAAAACTCAGAGAGCGGCACGCTAAATAGGGTAGATGTTACTGTTTGTAAATTATTTCTCAGTAAACCTGACTTTAAAAAAAAAAAAATGCCGGCCGAATGGCTCAGCTGGTTAAGAGCTCGCTTGGGACGCCAGCTCTGATCAGCAGGGTTGTGGTTCGGATCCCACATGAGGGCCAGTGACACTGCCCTCTACAGCTAAGATGCTGAACAACAGCTCGACCTGGAGCTGGGCTGCCGTGAGTCGCCAGCGACGGCGTAGGCTGCAGCGGGGCTGCAGTGGGCTGCTGGGAGCTACGTGAGTGGCTGGCAGCCAGCGTGAGCAGCCGGCAGCCAGTGTGAGCTGCTGGGAGCCGCTGTGACCAGCCAACTAATGACCGGTGACTGATTGCCTCAGCCGGGAAGAGCACAATCATGCCAACATGAGCCAGTGAAGTGACGTTCTCCACAACTAGAATGAAGAACAAAACAGCAATTTGTCTACCTGTCTGTTTCCCTTCCCCAATTCCCCAATGCTGTTCCCCTCCCCCAATTCCCCAATAAAATCTTAAAAAAAAAAAGATGATAGTCAAGCCTGTACTTGCATCATTAGGGATAATACCCAAGGCTTTTGTAGCCACGTGTGTAGGAATATTTTCTGTCGCCTGATGCCAACTATACCTGATGACGACTCAAATTGTCGTCATGTCCACCTCCAGTGAACCTGCCCTGGCCAGATCAGACACAGCATCCAGAACAATAGAGAGTTAGGATTTCAGTGAACTCACAGAATGGCCTGCTTGATCCATGGATGGTGTTTTGTTTTGTTTTTAAAATAAATACGTGTGTGTGTGTGTGTGTGTGTGTGTGTGAATTATTTGGACTGAAACTTGCTTTTCATTTCAACTTAATACAAAAGTTATGAAGTAGCCAATCCTTACCTACCTCAGACTTCTTGGGCAGTCACCAATATCTACCAAAAAGAACCAAAGAATTGTGCATAATCCACCTGACTCAGGCCCTTTCAATACAGGAGTACAGTCCTTCCTCAGGCTCAGTCAGGTATGTCCTGGTGACTCGGGTATCGCCTCCTGTCATAAACCTTTCCTGACACCCTCAGTACCTGTGCTTCTGAGCGGGACACTGCCCTCTTTTGGTCATTTTTTTACTTGGTCGGCCCCACTAGGCTGTGGAGTCTTTAAGGGCACAAAATGTGTCTTACATTCTCAGGGCACGATTTTGATCGAATTCATGGATGTTGCGTGTTTGATTGCAGTAATAGATGAGCAGTAATAACCACGTTAGCGGTGATGACAGCCAGCGCTTGTTGTTCACGCCCTCTGGGCCAGGCCCATTGTGGTACACTGTAAATACGGTACCTCCTCATCCTCACTGCACAGATACGGAAACTGAGACAAAGAGAAAATAACTCGCCTCAAGTCACACAGCTAGTAAATGTTGGAACGGAAATTGAAACTGAAACAGGCTCATTACAAAGCTTATACTTTTAAGTTCTGTGACCTCTGCCTCTGCCTCTCATTTTCACTACGACAGTACCTAGTACCTGTTGAAAAATATAATGCTTTCACAGTGTGCATCCTGTCCTGTCACTGAAAAGAATTTTAGAGCTCATGTATTTCTTACCCACACTGTGTGGATTAAACAAGCAAGGATCGCGGTTCAAGAGCACTCAGTTCTATGGATGGCATTCTGATAGAAAAGAGGAGAGAAATGTCCATGGGGGGGAGAAAAGTGTCCACAGGGCCACTGCTTTAAGTAGTTGGATGCCCTGTTGCCAGAACATCATTATTTTCAGCATAAAGATGTATTACTAACTGCTCTCCCCATCTCTCTCTTTTTCAGGGTCCATTGCTTCCACTATCTCATCCCTCTTGCGAAGGAAGGGAACTACGCCATTGTTGCGAACGTGGAAAGTATGGATTACGACCCTCTGGTGGTCAGACTCAACAAAGACATCAGCGCCATTGAGGAGGCCATGAGCGCCAGCCTCCAGCAGCACAAGTTCCAGTACATATTTGAAGGTCAGACCCTGCCCGGCCCGGGGAGTTTGGGAGGGAGGAAGGGTGAAGATTCTCCTGGTTTTTCTATCTTACTGAAGTTCAAAACTTGCAGAAAAAGGTGGTTGGGTTTTTCTTTCTTTTTTGATTAAAGCTGCAGCACCTCGTCTCCCTGTGTACGGCTAGGTAGATAACAATATGGCCGCCATCTGCTCCTGGCCGATAAGGAGATTTAATCCAAGATAAGGCAGATGGCAGCCCGGCTGCCTCCCCAGCGTGCCACTCGTGGGAGTTGGGCAAATGTGTGGAGGGCCTCGGACTGACTCGAGAGGAGCTCATAAAAGAAAAAGAAACACACACCATGAGGAGAGAACCCTGAAAGATCCCTCAGAGACTAAACATCACTGAAAGGGGACGTTTTCTCTCAGAATGTGTTACTGTCTGAGAGCAAGGGAAACCTCTGATTAGCAGATATTAGGAAGGCTGCATCCATAAATGCCTTTAGGGCAGGCAGCAGGCAAGGAGGGTGCGAGGGACGACGCCATCTAAGGCATTTGCCTGCAACATTGAAAACCGCGACGCCCGCCAAATAGTTTTTCCTGCTGAATTCCTTCCATAGGACGGACCCCTTTTAGGACTTCCAGTCACATTCCCTCTTTTCTTGTTTTCGTTTCCTCGTATGTAGACCTAGGCACTGAAAGTATCCATGGTGTCTCACAGAATTAAACCAGTGTTCCTTAAAACAATTAAGAAGGGGCATTGTCGAAAGGATTGTGGCAACCTGAAGGTAGGAAGTGGCGCTGCAAAGCCATTGACTGCTTTGTGAAACAGTTATGCTTCACATTATTTGGACCACATAAAATTCCTGTTTTCATTTAATTATGTTGTAAAGATGGAGATGAGTTCTGAAGGGAAATACAGTAATACCTGGGTTTGCGAGCATAATTTGTTCCGGAAACAAACTACTTGTATTGCAAGACATCGCTCGTTTACCACGTTAAAATGTATTACAAATGTTTGCTCGTCTTGCGGAACACTCGCAAACCACGTTACTTGCAATCCAAGGTTTCACTGTATCCCCAAAAGACTTTAGCCAAGGGATTAAGGGATTAAAAGGTTAGGTGTTCATCAGCCCCACAGCACTGTGAATTTGGGGGCAGTAATACTATGTGGCTTGAAGCTGCAGTGCCCTTCTGAGCAGGCACTCTCCCTCACTGCACGCGTTTTCCTCCTTACCCTGGACTGAAAACCCTGTTTTCAGTGGCTCTTCCAAGACCTGTGCCTCAACATTAACAGTTCCCAGAGTTCCCCTCTCATTTTGACCAGACATTTCTTAACATGTAATCCTGCTGAGACACAACACCTTAAAATACATGTGTAATTCTCTGACACTGAGTAGATTTTTAAAGAGGAAATCATACATTTGAGACTTCCTGTTTTAAAAGCTAATTATTTCTCTGTGATATAACTTTCTAAACTCGAAAGACATAATATGGCATTTCCCAAGGTAGCGGGCGGAAGTGACAGAGTTTCAAGCTTTCTTGGTGTGGCAAACGGGAGTACTTACTTCATCACAGATACAGTTCAGAATTGTCGGTGACTAGTGATAACATAAAGCAGACCAACTTTCATCGATTTTATTATTAGCTAGTATTATAATTTACTAGACATGTTTATTATATAAATGTATTTAATACATGTATTACTATGTACTCTTCCCTACAAGCAATGCACACATGCACACACACACACACCCATTGCCCACACTTAGGTCCGACTGCAAATGGCAAAACCTGAATTTAGGGGCTCAGGAGTATCAGCCAAAACTTGACCTACAGTGATTTTTCCCATAAATCAATTGTCTGGTATTAAATGTACAACCCGTGTGTGCATTTCTTTTTCTTTGAGTCAAAATCTTTCTACTTCACATGCACATAGTAGCACATAGAATTGTGGTCTTGAAGCAATGGTGGTGAGTGTCATAGAAGCAAGAGAAAGTGCGCCTTCTTCTCCCTTTTCTCCCTTCATCCTCGTCAAAGGAAAACTCATCCAATGACAGAGGGAGCCCTTGAACCTGAGGATGTGCCCTGAGCTCTGATCTGAACCATAAAGTCCCACCATGGAGGGACTATGACTTTAGAAAAAGAAAATAGAAGTAGTAGACTGCTTATGACCAGTCAGACTAGCTTTAGAGTTCTGGGGGAAATGGCCTATTAAGAGTCCAACTTTGCAAGGATAAGAGAAAAAGAAGAGACGCTTACTTAATTCCAGGTGTTTAGAATTAAAATCTAGCTCTTAAAAGCAGTAACCCACATGAGCATCAGGCTGTTCTGAACCACCGTTCCTCACCTTCATTCCGTAGGATATCCTGGATGGGAGCTCATACTTTGTTGATCTACTGACCCGCTGTTTGCTGAATTTCATAGATTTTAAGACAGTCCTTTGGATGTGAGAACAAACCACTTATGAGACCCCAGAAATGTTCATAGGTATCTTAAGGGAACTCAATAGTTACTTTCCTTGCACATTTTGTTTCTGATTATAGTCTTTTCAATTAATATTTAGATATATACTCCATTGTCAATGTTGAGGTGTGGTAGTGTCAGTGCTAGTAACCCAATTTCATACTGATTTATTTTGCTTTGCATAGGTTCCCACTCAACTTTTGAACTAAAAAGTGCACCCCTGTCTGTTTTGTGGGAGGAAGAAGCCAAATACATGATTGTACTGGGTTGTCGGAAAAGTCATGACGCATGTTTGCGACAGATGGCACTAGTTCATTTTTGGAAGTGCTAGAGTCATTCACATCTATGTTATTGCTATGTCATTTGACAGCTGACAGTTCCAGCTTCATTCTAAAAAACATTGAGCGATTTGGTTGAGTTTTGGAGATTTTACAACAAGTTGAAGATGGAAGACCAAAGTGTGCATTTTTGCCATATTTTACTGTTTTNTGGTTGAGTTTTGGAGATTTTACAACAAGTTGAAGATGGAAGACCAAAGTGTGCATTTTTGCCATATTTTACTGTTTTACTTCCATAAAGGGAAGAACACGTGTCAAGCTTGTGAAAAGTTGCATAAAGTTTACAGTGACAATGCTCTACAAGAACATCAGTGCCAACAATGGTTCACGAAATTCCATGCTGGTGATTTTGATCTCAGTGATGCTCCTCGGTCAGGGAGGCCCACCGAGGTTGATGATGACCAAATAAAGGCATTGACGGAGTCAAACCCACGTTACACAACACGAGAGATTGCAGAAACATTGACCACCCATCATTCAAGCATTCACGACCACCTGAAGAAGCTGGGATACATAAGCAAACTCGATATTTGGGTTCCCCATGAACTGAAAGAAGTTCATTTGACGGCGCGTATAAACATCTGCAATATGCTCATTAAATGTGAGGAAAACGATCTTTTTTTGAAGCGACTGATAACTGGTGATGAGAAGTGTGTTGTTTACAACAATATGGTGCACAAATGACCTTGGTCCCTATGTGATGATTCACCTCAAACAACATCGAAAGCAAACATTCATCAGAGGAAAGTTATGCTCTCAGTGTGGTGGGATTTTAAAGTGTCGTGTTTTCCAAGTTCCTACCAAGGAACCAAACAATCAGTTTGAATGTGTACTGTTGGTAATTGGAGAGTTTGAACGAATCCATCATCCAGAAACGTCGAGAGCATGTTAATTGTAAAGGAGTTGTGTTCCATTGTGACAACGCGAGACCACACACAAGTTTGATCACCCGTCAAAAATTCTTGGAGCTTGGATGGGATGTGTTGCCACACACACCATATTCACCTGACCTTGCGCTGTCAGACTTCCACTTGTTTCGCTCTCTTCAAAACTCCTTGCATGGTATAACATTCAATTCAGATGAGGCTGTAAATCAGCACCTTGTTCAGTTTTTCACAAATAAAGACAGGTCCTTCTATGAATGGGGAATTATGAAGCTCACTGAAAGATGGCAAAAGGTTATCAAACAAAACGGGCAATATATCATTGATTGACCTTTGTTCTTTATATAAATAAATGACCTTTGAAAAATGTAAACAAAATACATCATGACTTTTCCAACAACCCAATATTAGTGTGTGTTCTTCTCTGCTCCCAAAATATCTATACAGAAAAACAAGAGTTCCTACGCACTTTAAGAGTTTATAAGAACCTGGCATATTCCCTTAAGCCCTAACATGGTAGCTTTAGGTATCTGTGGCAGTGCTGGGGCTGTGGGTATACCAGGTCTTGCTGCCACCCAAAAATCTCCCCATTTGTAAATACTAGGGCAGTGTATAAATACTCAAAAATCATTGTGACATCAACTGGTGCAACCATCGGAGATATGTATTCTTGGGTCATTTAAATTCGTGGAGGATTAGAAGAGAGCAACCCTGTGTGTCAGTTTCTGCAGGATGCACTAATCTGCCTTCTCTTTTCTCCCCGCTGCCACATGCTGATCCCTCAGGCCTGGGACACTTGATCTCCTGCATCCTGATCAATGGTGCCCAGTACTTCAGGCGCATCAGTGAGTCTGGCATCAAGAAGATGTGTAGGAACATTTTTGTTCTTCAGCAGAATTTGACCAACATCACCATGTCGCGGGAGGCAGACCTGGACTTCGCACGGTAAGCGGGAAGTCCGGGCTCAGTTCCTTGGACCAAACCCAAGGTCTCATTGCCTAGAAGTCATTTTTCAAAATGGATGCTTGGTTCTTAAAGTTAGTTTAAAAAATAAAAATAAAAAACGGGTGATGGATGTTCACGAAACTTACTGTGGTGACCATTTTGCAATATGTACATATACCAAATAATTATGTTCTACAGCTAAAACTAATATTATATGTCAATTATATCTCAATTTTAAAAAGAAAAAAAATGAAACAAATAGATGTTCTTCAGTCATAGAGGAGGTAATTCTGTAAAAATCTATTGGACATTTAATGTCCCTTAGCTAATTTTTCCTATTCTCTATCCTAAGTTCTTTTTACTATAAAACTTGAGTAACTTTTTTTTCTGATGATAGAAGTAATATGTGCTTATTGCATAAAATATGTAATATTAAATACAAAGAAGAATATAAGCAATACTCATAAACTTTTAACCTAGAGACTCAGATATTTGGTATACTTTTTCCTAGTTTTTCCTCAAACTCCTTTATGCCTAGGAAGCCATTTACTTTTAAGAATCCAGAATGTTCCTGCCTAATACTTAGCATTTCTATGTCTTTTTGCTTGCTAGTTTGATTCCTTGAGAAATTCAAGAAAATTTGAAATGATTCTTGATATGTTTAAGGGAATGATGAAATAGTATACTGTTTTGACAATTATTAATACGTATATGCTAGAATCTGTGTTTTAGAATCATGTAGCCATACATCTTTGTGTTTGACCTTTCTTCTCCAATCTGTCACTCCATTTGTTCCATTGCTACCCTGTTCCTCTGCTTTTCTGTCCTCATTCCGTCTTCTTTTTTCCTCTGTGTGTGTGTGTGTGTGTGTGTGTGTGTGTGTGTGTGTGTTCGTTCATTACATTTCCTAATTTAGGCTAAATTTGGTGGAAAGCCTCTCTTACTCAGATTAGAAAAGCCAGGTGTGACTGAATGTTGCATTTATTTGGTGGCTCTTATGGGGAGTGATTCATTATTTAATTTGTTTCATAATGACATTGACAAGGGGAACTTAAGAACACGAAGGCCTGGGGGAGACACAGAAGCATTACTAATTCTCTGAGGAATATGATTTCCTAAATTCAATCATCGTTTTTTAAATGATTTTTTAATTTAGCTGAAGTAAGTAAATTAACACAGTTTTTGGCAGCAGTATGGAGCTCGAACACATACTAAAAAAAACTGGCATCAGAATAATGAAATGCTGACTGGGTGGCGTTGAGGTTGGCATGGGGGGCCATGTGCCAGCGAAGCGTGTCTTCTGGAAATAATTGAATGGCAACCAAGTCATGTCTTTCACAGCTGGATTTGCGAATGGTGTCCGAGGAAGTGTGTATCAGCTGAAATGTGACCACTTGGGACAAGTAGTGCTAGCTACTATTACTCTTTACTCTTAATGGATTACGAAAGGAAACAGACCAGCATCAGCGTGTAGAATTGAATGATTGGGTTCCTCTGATCCTGTTCAGCAGACATCTCCTTACTGTCCTGTAAGGCTGAACTCTTTTTTTTTTTTAAGATTTTATTGGGGAATCTGGGATGGGGAACAGACAAGTTGCTGTCCTTCAATCTTAGTTGTGGAGGACGCAGCTAGCTCAGCTCCAAGTCCAGTCATGCTGCTCAGCTCAAAGTGCTGTGTTCAATTAGTTGCGGGCAGGTGTAGCCACCATCCCATGCAGGAGTCGAACTGGCAGCCTTGTTGTTAAGAGTGTGGGCTCTGTCCCCTGAGCCACCCGGGCGGCAGCTCAGCTCAAGTTGCTGAGTTCAGTCTGTAGTTGCAGGTGGGCATAGCCCACCATCTCGAACAGGCAGTCTTGTTGTTAGGAGCATGTGCTCTCACCAACTGTGCCATCCTGCCACCTGTTGGCAGCTCAGCTCAGTCACAGCTCACTGGCCCATGTGGGAATTGAACCGGCAACCCTGTTGCTCAGAGCTCGCACTCTTGAGCAAGCTCTTAACCAACTGAGCCACTCGGCCAGCCCCAAGGCCGAGACTCTTGCTGTCTGTCCTCAGTGCCTGGACCAGTGCTCAGCATGTGTGTTGGGTGAATGACTGCACAGTCAGCACATCTTTTGGTGTTGGGGAAGGGCTTGGATAATGACAGAGTTTAGTGGACTTCCAATGCCCTGAAAGTTTTAATCAGCTGACATGGGTCAGTTTTCTTTTAGGCTTTCAAGAAACCAAGCATCCCCCTTGCAGTTCTTTCTTTGTAGAGCAGAAAGTGTTAGAAAAAAAAGGAATAACATATCTCTCCTCTTCATAGTCTCTTGCTCCCTCCATTTCTCTTGCTCTCATGCATATATACATAGACACACTTTATAGCCTTCTTTTTTTTTCTGTTCTTGTTTTTGGTAGGGACAAGCTTTGCAAAATGGGCTCCATCAATTCTACTGAATTTGAAGCTATGTAAAATAAATATAACAGCGATACCAAAATAGCCAGAAATAATAGACTGGAGCTGTGTGCCTCAGCATTCCTTAAGCAATGTCTGATCGAGCATGGACAGCATCTGTATTTCCAGCAAATCTCTATAGGAATGTTATCTTCTACCACAGTAATTAATCACTAGTTGCCATGTGTCAGAAAATTTCTTTAACAAGAAGTTGCAAGTCTCTTGTAAGTTTTTCACTTCCGTAGCCTTCCTGGCCAGGGGAAAATAGAACACCCTTTCTGTAATAAAGAAATGAGGGCTCTGGAACAATTCCATGTATGTCGATTTTTCTGCTCATGGCATTGTTGTCTGTCTCTTTTTATACACACCTGGTGCTCTCATCTCTAATAGGAGGATAAATCTTAGATGAGCAAAGAATCAAGTCTACCTGTCTGATCACCCAAATTAGAAAGACCTTCTCTCTTACGGTAATGATCTCTGCGATGGTTTTGACCCTTTTGACTTCCACTGTTAATTTTCAAACTCAAAAAGGTAGTTTGTCCTGGAAAATCAGTGCAGATGAACTAGAAAGTGAACAAGCTTTCTGAGTGTGATATTTAGTTCCTTTCATCAGAGAGCACCTTACCCTGAGCTTCATAGGCTTCTCTAGAAGTGAGTCGCTGAGGCAGAGTCCAGGCAGCGTCTAACAGGAGAAGCCTGGAAGGACACTGTGGTCCCCAAGGGCACTGTGTGCGGTCTGTATAGCTTAAGTGAAGCCATTACTCAAAAAGAATATGCCCTCTACCCCCATTTTCCCTTTCATATGTCTCTCCCATTTCAGTTGTCTCTGTTTTCTTTTTCATCTCTCCTGTCACTTCTGTCTTCTGCTCTCCTCTCTCCAGGCTTCATCTCTCCTTCATTTTCTTCTCCATCTCTTAGTTTTCTCTAGACGGGTATGTCGCATTCTTCAATCTGACAAAGATAAGAAAACGAAAGCCAACTTTCAGGAAATGGTAAAGGGAAAAGTTCAAACAAATGAGAAAGTTTCCTCACCTTTTTATTCATTCATTCATGCATGCATTCATTCATTCAACAAATATTTATTGAGGATACATTCTCTGTAGATCCTGCCCTAATGGAATTTGCATTATTGTGGAGCAAGGCAGACAAACTAATACATAAAATGTATATATGTCAGATGATGATGGTATATGCTATGGTTGAAAAAAAATAGGCATGGGAAGGAGCATTGAGTACGCAGGTATAATGAAGATAACCTGCAAATTTAAAGTGTTCATGTTATTCCTTAATAAGATGGTAACATTTGAGGACACACCTAAAGGAAGAGTGGTAACAAGCCATGTGGATATCAAGGGGAAGAGCTTATCAGGATAGGGAACCTAAGGAGTCTAAGAGTAAACATCCAGAGGGTGGGCCGGCCAAGTGGCTCAGTTGGTTAAGAGCTCGCTCAAAAGTTTGAGCTCTGAGCAACAGCGGTTCGAGTCCAGCCCGAGCTGAGCAGCCGCTGAGCTGCCAACAGGTGGCAGGATGGCTCAGCTAAAAAAAAAAAAAAAAATCCAGAGGGAAGAGTATGCTTGGCATTTAAAGAACAGCAGAAAGACCAGTGAAGGAGCAAGGGAAGAGTAAGAAATGAGATCAGAGGTTTAGCTAAGCAGCTGAGATCTTGAAGACCACTGTAATGATGTTGGCTTTGACTTTGACTTTGACTTTGAGTGAGTTAGGAAGCTATTAGGGTTTGGAACAGAAGAGTGCCATACTCTGCCTTACATTATGAAAGAATCACTCGAGCTGCTACGTTAAAAAATGGACGATTGGGAAGAGGAGGTTTCAGGCAAGGGCAAAAGCAGATGGAGCTGTTAGAAAACGATTGCAATAATCCAAGTGAAAGATAGCGGTGATTCAAACCAAGATGGTAGCAGTGGAGTGGATGAGAAGGAAGCAGTCAGATTAGGATTTATTTTTAAAGTTCTGCTGACAGGATTTCATAAGGGATTGGAAGTAAACCAATTGACTCTGAGTTTTTTTTTTCTGAGCAATTCACAGGGCAGAGTTTTCATTTACTGAAATGAAAATGAGCCAGAGCATTGGAAAAGCTGGTTGACTTGGCGCACAGGAGTGTGTGTGTGTGTTGGGGGGAAGGGGCCAATAGGAAGGGGCTCTCAAGAATTTGAGTTTGGAAGTATTAAGCCTAAAATGCATGTTACACATCCCAATAGAGATAAAGAAGAGAGAGCTGGATATGCAACTCTAGAGTTCAGGAAAGAGGTCCGGGCTGGAAATGCGAGGTGGGGAATTCCCAGCATCTAGATGGGATTTAAGGCTCTAAGACAGAGTGAGAGCTCGACAAGACCACAAGTAGAGACAAAAAGAGAAGCTGCCCAAGGAATGAGCCTGGGCTCGCCACTGTTTAGACATTGGAGTACTGAAGAAGAACCAGCAAAGGAACCCAAAGAAGAGCAGTCAGTAGAGCAGAAAGATAACCGGAAGTTGTGTCTGAAAAATAAAGTGAAGAAAGTATTTTAAGAGGAGGATGTCTTCTTCTGTGTCAAATGCTGTTGATAGGTTACAT